CACTTCTTCAATCTTCATCTTCCTAAACAGTTGACTATCATATTTTTTTCAAAAAATTCACTCCAAGCACTATCTCCTTATCAAAATTTTTAACAACAAAATTTTAAAAATTAAAATTAAGTGGATGATTCTTAACTATGCACAGCTCAAGTGAAATTCATCTTACCACTCAAACCATAGGAATAACTAATGGCTAGAGGTTCAATAATCATGGTAGGATCTTCTTTTTGTATATTTGCAGGTTCAACAACCATGGTGGTGGTGAGAAAATTTTTCTTTTTTTAGGCATTTCATCAAACAGGTTATGTGCAAGAAAAGGGTGCCATTGTGATGCTGTCGTTGGTCGCGGTAAGGAGAGCCTAGGAAGAGAGAGTTTGCGCAGAGAGGAGAGGGCAAGGGAGGAAGGGATAGGATGGAGAAATACCTAAGAGGGCTATTTGGCAGCGGTGTTGTAGGGTGAGAGGGAGAAGTGAACGAGGGACAAGAGAGTAAAGGCAAAGATGGGAGTAAAGAGGCGTATATGCTTGTTTGGCAGTAACGCAATGATGTGGTTGCTACTTAGAGAAAGAGAGAGGGGAAAGGGGGTTGCTGATGGAGAGAGATGATGAAGAAGAGAGAGAGGGGACAGTGACGTTGCTGAGTCAGAGAGAGAGAGAGAGAGTGAGAGAGAGACAACATTGAATTAAAAATTGAGGGGCAACATAGAATTAAGCTTGAAACTTGAATTTTTGGGTATTCAAAATTTCAAGTTTTGGAGGTGAAGGGTGGCCTAATCCACCATTTTTAGGGTCAAGGAATCCATTTTTGAAGTTAGAATCTAGAAAGAATGAGGTTTGGTGGGTGAAAATTTGAATTAAAAATCGTGATAATTTTTAAAAATGATGAACCCGTTACTTTGGAGCTCGATTTTCACTTACCTTTTGCATGATTTGGACAAACTAAATACATGGCTGGAAAGAGGGTAGAAACAGATTAAATTTAGGCATTTAAATCACCCAAAAAGGTTGAGAAACGAGGGAGAAATTACGGGTCAAAATTGGCCCAAATGTTAAAAAAAATCTGGTATGTACATAACTTGTCAAAATGAGTTTGTGATCACATTTGAGGTTAAATTAGTGGATCATGGGGGCTATTTAAGGAAACAAGTCTGTGAGGTTTAAAACTAGGTTGAGAGTGGAGGATATTGACATTGGTTTGAGGAAGTTTGGTGCATTATAGAGAGAGAGAAAAACTTGTAAAGTTGGGTAGTTGGTTGATTTTTCAAAAAATTAAAATTAGGCAACAATTGAGAGAGACGAAAAAGATGATGAATAGTTCAGGGAACTAAAATCATTTTATCTTTTCTACTTACGGTGTTAATTGTGCATATCGGTCCAAAAGCACAAGGGGATAATGTTCTGATTTCCAAATCATATAGGGGTCATGTGTAAACACCCAAATCACAAGGGAGTAAACTGAATTTTGCCCTTTAAAATTGAATGACTAAAATTGATGAAAGTACAATATGATAGGGTTACAAAAAATTTATATTTTTCTTATGTTTGGTATATAAGAGGTGTGGAACTCACTATTTAGCACAATATCACAATTTTTTTTTCAAGACTCAAAAGAATTGTAGTTTTTATTCCACCAACCAATTTAGTTTGGGGTAAATTATAAGTGACGTCCCTAATGTTATGCATTACGTATCATTTTAATACTCAATATTTTAATTTCATTAATTTAGCCTCTCGTATTTTCAATTTTATTTTAATGATTCCAACGCATACATCGGGAAACTCCACCGCAATTAACCCATTTTGTTTCAAGTCGAAGAAAGGGGTTTTTATTCCACAACTCAATTTTATTGATGGTGAAATATGAAAGGAAAAGGAAATGACATTGTCTTACTTTTCCTCTGGTATGAATAACGGGCAGACTCTAAGGAAGAGTCATATATGTCCCACACCATCATTAAAGCTTCATGTGGGTCCAACCAAAAGAGCCATTTTCCTATTATCTTGGATTTTACATCGTGGAAAAATCGAATGGTTCACTTTACCCAAATTTTTTGAAGAGCAAAGATTGCCGTTTCGTATCAAAAAAAAAAAAATTGTTTAAAATCGACACAATTTATTAATTTGATGTAAGTATTAATATTGGCTTAATTATAGACCAAATTAGCTTGAACGAGGAGGTAGAAGAAACATTGGTATGGTGACCATTCCATGTGTCAAGTAAACTGAAATTGAAATATGATTATATGAGCAATATTTTATGAGGAGATTCAAGTAAAAATGAAAACAAAAAAGAAAGTTTCTTTTAACTTCAATAGAATTTCATTTACGAAAAAATTATTAATAATATTTATTAATAAATTTTTTATTATTGTTCAATTGAAAGCGGACTCTATTTTATATTAAAATTCACTATTAATTTAACAATTAGTATAAGTTTTATCAACAAATTTAGTCCAAATTATATGATTGAAAGTTTTTACATGATTAACATTGTTACAATTCTCAAAATGGTTTTCAAATTTTACGGCTTAAATCAGTTTGAATGGTTGAATTGACGAATTTTATTTAGAAAATAATGGGAGTCACCGATCAAACTATCTATATTTATTAAGCAATATTACTTGGGCTTAATTCATCAACCTAATTCATTGTATTCATTAGATCACCAATTAGTCTCAATATTAGATAAAACTCACTACTATCTAACTTTAATTCCACAAATTAAATTCTTAAATTAGATATAAATAATATTTTTTGTCTTAATTTAAAATATAAATTTGAGAAAGTGATTATGTGGATCAACCACGACCCCCGACTGCATGTGAAACTTGTTATTTAGACCAAATTTTTTTAATAACTTCCGACATCTCGTTCATTAATCATCCCAAAGCATTTCTAAGAAAGAGTTTGATAAATGTCACACGCAATGGAAGAAATTGTTTGGTCTAGAAGACTGCTTAGTTTTTATGCCGCTCATAGTTTTTATTTCCACGCCAATAGAGGAAAAGAGGAGTATCAAAATGGTTATTTTTCCTCAAGTGCGACTAATGTGCAGATTCGAAGAAAGAGTCTTATGGGTCCCACCAAAAGGTGTAAGCCAAGTAAACACATAAATTCAACTTGTTTGAAAAATACTATTCGGGTAATTTAGAAAACTAATATAAAGATTTAATCACTACCGTTGGTGGTTTGAAAATGAGCTTCTTCTAATATTATAATTCCCAATTATTCTAATAACAATATTGAATTAAGTTCCTAGCATTGCTCTAAAGCTTTTGTATTGAGGGGAAAATTGAAGCTCACTTTATCCAAGTTTTTTGAGGAATAATATTGTGTAAATCTAATATATTGAAAAATTTTATTTATTTTATTTATTATTATTAATTTGATTCAAGCATAATATTGACTCAATTTACTAACCAAATTAGCCTGAATAAGGAGTTTGAAGACTTCAAGTTTGAAGACTTTAATTCTTCCAAATATTATTCATCACGTAATTAGCGCGAAGACTAATTAATCATTTGTATGAGTCAAATTGTGTATACGAATGAGACTAAACCAAATTCACCACGTATTATTCATCACGTAATTAGCGCGAAGACTAATTAATCATTTGTATGAGTCAAATTGTGTATACGAATGTGTCATAATATTTGAAACTTTCAAAGGAGAGAATTTTCACACAGAAAATTGTTTGGTCCAGAAGAGGTATATCACTAATTCTCTTCAAGTGCCAAACACTTCTAGCTTTTTTTCCCACTCAATTTTATTAGGAGGAAAAAGGTGAAACAATGTACAACTTTTCCTCAAAAACGATTAATGCGTGGCTTCCGAGAAAGATTCCTATGAGTCCCGCCAAAAGGTTCGAGTCAAGTAAACTTCATGTGGATCCATCTAAAATGGGCATTTTCCCCCTATAGATTTTGCCTTGCGGGAAAATTGAAGGCTCACTTTATCCAATTGTTTTTGAGGAGTAATATTATTTATTGATTTTATTTATAAATTTAATTTATTATTTGTTAATTTGTTCCAATTATAAAAAAATTAACTTAATTTGGTAATTAAATTAGCCTGAGCGAGGAGTCAGAAGAAGCATTTGATAAGGTCTCGATTTCATGTGTGAAGAGAGTCGAAACTAAAGTTGATTGTAAAAGTAACATTTTCTTAAAGATGGCAAAAAAAAAAAATGAGGTAAGAGATAAAATAGACATGAAATTTCTTTGAACTTTAGATAAAATAGAATGAAAAACTGACTTCACAAAAAAGTTACTGAATAATTATATTTGGATCAAATTTATTATTCAAATTTGTTACCATGTTGAATTAATTGTGTACTACATATGTGTAATATTGAAACATGCAACGAATTAATGCGAATAATTTAATTCAAATTATATGGTGTAAAGTTATTACATGATTAACTCCTCAAAACGTCTCCCAAGTTTTATATTTTAAATCAATATGCAAAATTGAATTAATTAGTCCATTTAAAAAAAATAAGTTGACACACCGTTCAAACATTCATATTATTTTTTTCACCAATAATCCTTGTAATTAAATTTAAAACACAAATTTGAGAAATATTTTAGAAGTAATCTTATTTGAACTTAAAAATTTGACTTACTTTTTTAATTTAATGATGTTATAGTGACATGGTATAATATATCATTATTGTAAACTGTGATAATTACACATTTTTTAATATAAAATTATACCACTTAATACATTATTATATCAACGATTGAGATTAATTTTTAAACGTGTCATCCTTTTTTTTTTCTTAATTCGTGATATTACATGATTTTGTGGGTCAACCACAAAGCGTGTACGAAATGGGACAAACTTTGAATAGTGGTTGCAGACCTTTTCTTCATCGGAGTGGCTACAAAAGGAGTAAAGGGCCAAGCAAAACACCATGTTCAGCAATCTGCTGCAGACAGATCGACACTTTACCACCTGAGAAAAAAAGATATATAGTTATATACATATCAGTGATCGATCATGGAGTGGTTGCATGTGACGGTAGCGCAACTGATCACTCTTGCAATACTGTTGTTGTCCCCAACATCATCATCATCAACTGCTAATCCAACGACAACAACAGTTATGACCAAACCCCGTTGCGATGAGTATTGTGGGGATGTCAGAATTCCGTACCCATTCGGCCTGACACAAGATTGCTCTCTAAACGGCTACTTTTTAATAACTTGTGACTATTCTTTCAACCCTCCAAAAGCATTTTATGGCAAAGGTGGGATAAATGTTACAGAAATAAGTATCGAGCAAGGTCAGATGCAAATCTTGAACAATATAGGCTATCAATGTTACGATCAGCAGAATAACTACTTTTCCTCCTTTCCCTGGCTCACCTTGGGCGAATTCACCGTCTCAAGCACCGCAAATGAGTTCACTGCAGTTGGTTGTGACACTTCTGCAATTGTTACTGGCTTCAAAGACGATCAGCGGTACACCGCCGGTTGCATATCCATATGTGAACAGAAAGATAGTATCGTCGGAGATTCCTGTTCCGGCGCCGGCTGTTGTCAAACTTCGATCCCCGTAGCGCTACGGAGCCTTAATGTGACGTTAGGTAGATATTCCAATAACCAAAATATTACGAAATTCAGTCCATGTAACTTTGCGTTTATGGTCAAAAAA